GACAGTGAAGGATAAGTGTCCTATTCCCAACATTTGTGATTTTTCAGCAGAGTTGCATGGAGCAAAGGTATTTTCTCGATTAGACTTGGTAAAAGCCTATCATCAAATTCCAATCAAGCCCTCTGATATCCTTAAAACGGCTATTGTTACTCCTATTAGACTTTTTGAGAGCACAAGAATGCAGTTTGGGCTGTGCAATGCGACTGCAACCTTATGTTTTATTGATGAAGTAACTCGTGAGCTGCCAGGAGTATTTGCTTTTTTTAACGATATAGTACGAAACTGAGCATTTGATACACTTGAAAGCTCTTTTTGAAAAATTAAGTAATTATATAGGTTAAGAATTAATGTATCTAAATGCAATTTTGGTTTAACATCTTTGGAGTTTGGGGGGTTTTTCACGTATGTGAAGAAGGTTTAAAACCTTTACCCGAAAGGGTAGAAGCCATGTAGAAATTTCCTAAACCAAACAAAAGAATACCCTTTCAAATGGGACAACAAATGTGAGAAAGCATTCGCCAGTACAAAAAGGGAAATTGCTGAGGCAACCCTTCTCAGATGCACAATTCCTGGTGTAACCTTGAAACTTTGTGCTGATGCATCGGACATTGTGGCTGGCAGTTCATTAAGGCGACTGCATAATTCAGTTTGGGAACCCTTTTCATTTCTATCCGTTAAACTCAGCAAAAGTCAAAGGAAATGGCCAACTTCTGATCGAGAACTATTGTGTATTTAATTTGTCTATTAGGAAGTTTCGGCACATGCTTGAAGGCAGAGCCTTTACACTGTCCAAAAGCCCTTAATATATGCTTTTAAGCAGAAAACCGAAAAATGTTCTCCTCAACAAATTCGTCATCTTGATTTTATAGGCTAATTTTTCACTGATATACGTTACATCAAAGGTCATGACTATATTATTGCTTATGCCTTATCCAGGGTACAAATAGATGCAGCATCTGATAATCAGCACATTGATTATAAAAAGTTATCCAAAGTGCAAACTCAGGACTCTGAAATTCAAAATTCTTTATCTCAATCTTCACCAGTTTTTAAACTAGAGAAACATTATTTTCCTTTAGAAGATGGTACTCTTTACTGTAATATGGACACACTTATACCTGTGTCCGGAAGTTATATCTACTACCAACATATCAGTTCAGACGACTTGCAAAGTGTTAGTGCATAACTGGATAGCTAGATTTGGCTACCTGGTATCAATAGCAACTGATCAAGACCAAAATTTTGAATCTCACTTATTTAGGGATTTAATGAAGATTTTGGGTACACATCACATTAGAACTACTGCTTATCCTCAGTCCAATGAGTTGATTGAGAGATTTCATAGGCAACTTAAAAGTGCAATAATGGCTCATAACAATCCAAAATGGACTGAAATTCTGCCTGTACTGCTGGGTGTCAGATCTGCCATTAAGAAAGTTATAAATGCTATGGAACTTGTCTAGAGTACCACACTTAGATTATCCTCAGATATGCTATTAATTTTGTATCTCCTTCTGAATCTAACGTGTCACAGCTTCGATCAGTCGTGCATTTAGTTAGACCGATTCCAACTTCTAGGCATGTTCAACCATCAATTTATGTACACCTGGCACTTCAAACCTGTTCTCATATATTTCTGCGTATCGATTCTGTTAAACCTCCGCTAACTCCACCTTACGCTGGTCCTCATACTGTTGTTAAACGAAAGGACAAAAATCTTATTGAGGTAAATAACAAAAAGATTATAGTTTCAATCGATCACTTAAAACCAGTATATATGTTGTCAGAACGTATGGATTCACCTGTAATTCCTCAGATTCCACATCAGAAAGTCTGTGAAGACTCAAAATTTGCTTCAAAAGTAATTACTTGCAGTGGACGTCGTCTTCTTTTTTCCGAAAAACTGATCACTGTAATAGGATTGAAGTTTTCTCTAGTGGTTTGCTGCAAAAGTTATAGTATGTAAATACTTGATTAATTTCTTTTGCATACATATTGGAAGTAACATAAAATTCATATTAACTTTTCATTTTTGTTAAATTAAGATATGCATTGCATGGATATATATTTCAATTAGAATTAAAGTGTATTACTTGTATATTACTATTCTTTTCTTTTCTTTTTCTTTTTTTTTTTTTTTTTTTTTTTGTTGTATGTATGTATGTACATTTTATAGCTTTTATTCGAATGCATATAGCTTAAACTGGAATTTTGCAACCAACTCATTTTGTGTTGTGACTGTGTCAGTGGGAGGTTACTCTGTGGCAGTCTGAGGTTTTACAGCGTGCGTCTAGCTCGAGTGAAAGAATGTATGAAATTTTTGTATAGAAGTTTTCTGTTATGTTAACGACAGTTGTGTTAAGAATATGGTGTGTGTTAATAAAGTTATGTTTAATGAAGCGGAGTCATGAAGGGTATTAACCGAGCCATAACGCATGCACCATACCTACATTAAATTTACTATTTCTAGTTTACTTATGATTACTGTACTATAATCAGGTATTGTTATCAAAGTATGTATAACAATGAAAATCGCTCACTTGAATTTATATTTATTTTCTGCAACAAAATAAAGTGGTCTTACAATCATAATAACTACAGTTCGTTAAACAGTGTATTTTAAGTTTAACCAATAAAAGTATTGACTCTCTAGCCAGTATTGACTCTTCTTAACATTAACATAACCGTTGTCTATCAAAAATATATCTGTTGAATTAAAGCTGTGCCATGTAATCAAATCTAAAAGAATTTGGCAACCAATATGAAACACTATAACAAACTGCCACAGGTTGGGTGTTTTGCAACAGAAAGGTAACTTTTTTATCTTCGTAATGAAGATCCAACAAATGATCTTTAAAATATTTACTTTTTAACATAGCATAAAAGGAATTAGGGGTAGAGTAGACTTTAAGGTACCCCTTGTATTATGGCGAAGTTGTTGTTTGATTAATCGCCAAGTTGTTTCATTTAGGTAGCCTGAGTAGTTGAATGTTATAGAAACCCTATTGTGACATAATCGGGTGTATGATTCTGGGAAATTTTGAATCATGGGATGTTTTGTAAGCGTTTTTGTGGTGTGTGTTGGTTTGATTCTTTAGACTGTAGAATGGCCGAATGTAGTAAGATTAATTTGAAGTTTCTGTATGATTTGGAGCGAAAGGGGAAAAGAGCTTTAATTGACTGGTCTGTAAATGAAGGTTTACTTAGTAGCCATTATAAGTGTCCTGTATGTAGGAAGGATATGACTCTAGTCAAACGTAAAAACCGTTTAGATGGATTCGAATGGGTTTGTAGGAAGAAAGGTTCAGAATGTCACTATGTGAAGCATTCGATCAGAAAGAGTACCTGGTTTGAAAAAAGTCATTTGAATATGATTGATATTTTGATTTTTACGTTGCTCTGGGTGTACGAAGCGAACACGAAAATCACGGTAACTGAATATTTGCTTTTGGTAGTGCTTAAATGTATAACATGTTTTTCTTTTTTTTATGTTATTTTATTGTTTGGTTTAAAATGTATTTTATTGAGATTATGTATTTTTTGTTTGCCTATATTGTAGAATTTGGTGCTCCTTTGACTTTTTAAGTGAAAATATATCAATGTGTACATGGACAAAGTAAAGGGAGTGTGCAATGCAAGTTTGTACGATTCTGGGTTTTTTTTTTCTTTTTTTAAGTGAAAATAGTTCTACGTGTACATGGATAAAGTTAAAAGAGGTCGCAATGCCATTTTTGTGCAATTCGAGGATTTTTTTTTTAAGTGAAAATAGGTCGACGTGTACATGGATACCGAGTTTGTGCAATTGTTTATCTTGTTATTTTGGCTTTGTGATCCATGTACCGCCAAAAATCGCCAAACTTCGCCAAGGGGTACCCTAAACTATACTTTTGCCGGAATTAGAAACAGATGCGTTACAGCTAGAGGTGGATTACATAATCTTATGCCATGGTGTTTCCAGAAGTTAACTGTGAAGTTGTCTTTTTTCACTGTCTACCATAATTCAAGCCTTAGTGGGAAGGACAGCAAAGTCCCTCTGGAGAATTCAACCTCAGAATGAGGGACAAAAAGTTATGCAGATTTTTTATTTTTTATTACAAGGTTTATTATTTTACTCTAGTACAACACTATTTCAAGATTGCTTAGGGTTTTAATATATTTCTAGATCTCATCAGTAATCAATAAATTCATGATGTCAATATTTTTTCTCATTTTCATTTTAAGTAAGAGTTATATTCAGAATAATTATGGTACATTAATAAAGTTCCGTTTAAGTATGTGCTAGTACTTTTTTTTTAATAATGTAATAATGAGTCTTTGTTTCATTATATTTTTGCAGTCTCTTAATTTAAATATTAAACTAATACAATGGTAAAATGTATTGCAAGAATAATGTAAGATGGTGACAGAGGGGTCAAAATTCTGAAAAGGGGGATTAGGTACACTGTATATCATAAAATCTGATTAAGGGGTATGTGAGAGAGAAAAGGTTGGGAGCTGCTGTTCTAAAAGAAGAATAGAGCAGTCTAGAACAGAAACTTCTAAATCACTTGTAATGAGCATGGCATGATATTGTGGCAGCTGCATCACTATTTAAGGGTTAGCATATTTTGCCTTGATTAGTAAAATTGTCAGGATGTCGGTAATTATTTTTTCATCTATCACCTTGCCTAATTGCTGTGTGTAACATTGTTGAAAATGGCATGCTACCTTGGTTTGATCTGCTATTTTCAGTATTATATTCAAGTTATTGGTCATCATTTTATGTTAAGTATTGGGAAATATATAGTTTGCTATATATATATCTTCTTTCAGTTAGTTTTCTGTGTAGAAAATATTGAGCACTGTTCCTTAACTGCATTTTAGCTTGATTGCATTAATGCGATTAGTATGTGACAAATGTATGACCTTGTAAAATTTTTTCCAGTTTAATTTTTTTAATGTTAGAGAATTTATTTCCCTTATTGTTGGATTTTTTTAAAGTTCTGAATTTTGTTTCCTAGGTAAGGAGATGGATTGGCGTTGTAATTTGAAAGGCATTCGTGCAGTAAATGGTTATGCACTTAAGGAAGGTATTCTAGCTGATGTAACATTTGAGGTTGGAGCTGAAGCAAAGCCATTTAAAGCTCACAAATTAATTCTTGCACTTGCAAGTCCTGTATTTGAAGCCATGTTTTATGGAGGATTAGCAGAAAAAGGAGAGAAAGTTGTTATTCCTGATATTGCACCTGAAGGATTTGACTTTTTACTAAGGTCTGTATATATTAAATAAACATGAGTAATATTTAAACCCTAACCAGTGCATAATTAAAAAGCAAAAGAACATACACGTCAGGTTTCAAGGTTTATTCAGTTTCATCATGTATTCAACTGGCACTGCTAGATCCAAAAACAAAACATGCATCAGTATTTATGCCCTCTATAGGTACTTAAATTAGATTTTCAGATAAAATTTCTTACAATCCTTTTCAAACTGTCTGTAAAAAGAACAAATGCTGAAAAATAATTCTGTATCTTTACTCGTAGTTTGATGTGTGTTAAGGTAACGGCTTCAAACGAGCTTTTCATGGATATTATTCCACCATAAGCAGTTTTAAAATCTATGAATAAATGATGAGTCAAATTCTCTGGTCTTTTCCATTATTTGCCTTATATTAAAAATCAGCTGACCCTTCTTTACAGAAACCACATTGATAGTGACCAGTTATATTATCTGTATAAACAACTAATCTGTTATAGAGAATATTAGAAAATAGTTTATAGTGTCTATAATAAATTAATACTTCAATAGTTCATTCTTTCTCCCAGGCCCATATGTATAGCAGTCAGCCTCCCTACATCCAGACCAAAAGGTTGCCAAAATATAGTGCTCATTGCCTGTAAAATATTTCTTTATGTTTAATCATATCCATGTTTCTGCATTCCAGTGAAGGACCCATATTTTGCTGATGTATCAGTTTTGGGGCACTTCAGTTTATATATATATATATAAATATAATTAATTTTGAATTTACATATAAAGTAATATATTGGATTTTTAAAATTATTATTACCTTACTCTTTATTTTACAATATTTTTATTGCTAATATAAAACCTCCATAGAGGACGTTTATGTGTGTGAAATTGCTGGCTAGTTTCCTAGAGGTTAGATGTGTATCATGTAACAATGCATATACAGTGTCCACCAATATCTTTATCCACTCTTTCATAGAAGCAGTTGGTCACTGTGACCTGTGAATACTAGCAGCCAACCTATAAGTCACTTTTTGGGATAATTCAATAAATCATGATAAATGAAACAGCATTTTCAAAGTCAATTTTGTAAAAATTACAAGATCATAACTTTTTATACATTCCTTTGATCCATATACTTATGGTTAGGTAAATGTTATGATAATTATAAAAAATACAATAAAAAGTGTGGCATACAGTAAAATGTGTCCATATGACAAAAAATTGACCAAGATATGTAACACTGAGCATTATATTCAGGGGCTGTACACAAACTGAAAGCAGAGTGTTTGCATTTGTTCTTAACTAAAAAATTAAATATCAATTTGAGGAGATGGATTAACTGATGTTAATATTAATGCTAATATGTTAACTGATGAGAATTTTTGTGCAGATTATAGTGAAAAGTTTTGATCAGTATAATTTCCTAAAAAGGAAATTTTATTTTCAGTATCTTACAGATTTCATATTCTAGAAAGAAATAGCAAACTTCAGTACTGTCATAGTGTCAGCTTATAAAATTGCCTGCATGGATGAACTTTTTATTATTATTAGTTAAAAATTCCAAAGTAATGAAACTTCATAAGACTATTAGTATATAATTGTAGCATTTGAAAACTAATTAATTGTTTGTGTTGTGATTTGTTTTGGCATACGAATTGTAATAAAATTTTAAATTAAAGACCATTATGTGCTGAATCATAAAGGAATGCAATTGAATGGCTTTTAAGGGAAAAGTATGAATCTTAAGTTATTATAATTTGTTTATTAACCAACCCATCGAAGCTAGTTGAAAAGGACACCAAAAACAGGAAATTTTAAAATTAAGTATCGTGTTAAATTTTTATGGTACAGAATTCGGACTTTTTGCATTTTGTTTTGTCTTTAGAAGTTTTGGTAGTCCTGTAGTATGTAATCTACCACTTTTAGTTAGTTATTTATTTCTTAGACGACATCATTACAATACTGTTTTTAAATATGAATGTGTGGTAACATGGCAAGAAAAAGAAATAAAAACAACAACCAACTATAGTGCCCCCTTGGGGAATCATATGTAAGGTTAAATTATGTTTCATGTTTTTTAACTTAAAAATTCTAAATCATAAATATTTATAACATGTAAAACATTTTTGTGACTGGAAACCAATGGCTACAAAAATGAAGACGAGGTAAGGACGTTTATGGATACAGTGCATGTATGTAATGTGTTGATCTAGATTTTAACAAAAGAAGGTTTGATGTATTTAAAAATTGATCTCTTAATTGCAACTACCCTCAGCTTCAAATTTCTGTATGATTTTCCATGTATCAAAGGAGGTAGTAGAATAATGGTATGAAGTTAGTAAATGTTTAGCATCACAGTTCTTGAAAAATATTTTTAATCTAGATGAGGCTGGATTTTTATCAATTAATAATACTCTTTCAAGAGCTTGAATTTGGCACACTTGTTTAAGTAAAGTTGTATATGTTTCTATAATTTCACTTTTCAAAGCAGCACAAAGCTCACAAATATCTCTCTGTATGATCAGATACAAAATGGAGAAATTTTTAATGTTATGATAAGAAATAAAACTATTAACAGTATCTATTGAAATATGTCAAAAGGTTTATTTGTAAGAGGTACAGTTTGTAATAAATCTGATATTTTCTGTCTGGCTTTTTTATTCATTTGGATGTATTGCAATGCTTTAGAAATTTAGCAATACCCATGTGTGTTGTAAATAATTTGAGATGTTAAGTTCATCATTATCTGGACTGCAGAATGCCCTAACTGACTATGAGCTGTATTACAATAATTAAGAATTTCACTCTTAGAGAAAATGGTATTACAGTTTTATGCAAACTTTTCTTTTTATAACATTAACGCAATTATATAATTTTCAGTGAATTTTGATATTTTGAAATTCGGATAAATGAAGAAGAACCTAAGCCAAGTCTCACAAATGGAGTTTATGTTCTTCTTTTCTTTAGTTGTCAAACACTCAGTCAAGTAGTGAAATATCCAGTATACTTTTTTCTTCCTCAATAATTTTGCCTGCTAATCTCAGTTGCTCAGTATACTGAAAGATTCATACACCACACTTCATCATATTATTCTTGGATTTTTGTCCATGTATTATAATCAGTGTATTATTTTAATAGGCTCAAAATGTGTGCTTGTGTCAGCAATGTAACATGAATCCAGTGCATTATTAAGTATTAAAACATCCCCTTTTTTGTGAAAATGTGTAGGTCACAATTGTTAATTTATGTATGTTCTTATGGAATAGTTGTTCATGGTGGAATTTTGGAGACTGAATTAAAAATTTCTGCATTTGAGGAATTATTTTGTAGCATTTTTATATTTAAATAGTAAGGGTTTCAAAAAAAATTTTTTCCCGATAATTCTTAAGAAGAAATATTTTTTAATTTTGATTCATTAGAAATTTTGCCTCTTACAAAGAAATTTAAAAGCCCTTTCAAACTATGAATTTTATAGCATAATTCATGCCTGAAGTTAAGAAATTTAATATGCGTGTTTATTATTTATTAAGGTAGAGTTTCTATATATAATTGTAATGCTAATATATTAAAAATTTTAGGTACATTTATACTGAAGAAGTTTCTTTCAAAAATGCATCTGAAGCTTTCATGACATGCACTGCTGCTGAAAAGTATTGCATGCCTCGTCTGAAAGAACAGAGTGAATATTTTATATCTTGTTGTGAATTGACTGCAGAAAATGTTTGGATTTTTCTTGAAAATTCTCTGTTTTTGGACATGAAGGTTGTGACTGAAAGGTGCTTAGAATTTCTGAAGCGAAACACTACTCAAGCTCTTAAAGATTCCAGTTTCTTAGACACTACAGCTGAAGCCATTGAAAGAGTCTTAAGTTCTGATTCTCTAGAAGCAAGTGAATTAATGTTGTTGAAAAGCATAATTCGTTGGGCTGAGAAGAGACCCAGTTCAAGTAAAGAAACTTCAATTAAAGAGCATCTAGATCCTCTCATGCGACATATCAGGTTTGGAATATTAAATCCTGCTAGCTTTTGTACCTTTTTAGAAGAAGAAAAAAATATTTTTAGTGATTCTGATGCTTTAGCAATTCTGAAGCATTTGACCAATCCTCAAACTTGTTCGCTTCCTGAGTGGTGTTGCTCAAAAATATGGCGAAGTACAGTTAGTGACCGAGTAATGTCACCCTCAAGGAAAGTCAAGTCAAGTATAAGACGTCCTTTACCGAGTCAGGCATCCCCAAAATATGATTCTTATCATCGTACTTCTTCCTGTGCATCTCGCACTAGAAGTAGAAGTAGGGGTAAGCATAGAAGACTTGCATATACTAGCAGCTCTTCTGATTCCAGTAGCAGTTCATCTCAGTATTCCTCTCTAACTTCATCTTCTGATTCAGATTGCAGCTAGTTCAACTGAAGTCTGTTAATTTATTGAGACTTGATTCGTTAACAATTTTAATGTTATTTTCAAATATTTTGTTCCCAGTTTGTTTTCAAATGCACTGTTCTTGAGCTGTATACAGTTTTTAATTTTTTTTTTTTGGCTTGTTTATTTATTTCTATTCCACATTTTAAATATGTAACACATTATATGCATTTTAAATATATATATAGGGAAAAGAACAGCTTTTAAGTTTTAATATTTCATGTATAGCTGTCTATTGTACCAGTTTATTAATTCTTTGGCTGTTGTCAAAATCTTCAACTGTCTCTTTTATATTACGATATTTTATATTTGCATGTGACACTTATTGCTCTGCAGTTGCTTTTATAAATGATATTCATTTTATGGCAATGCAGAAAGTTAAGCTGTATGCTACATTTGTTTTTGTAAAACTTATTTCATAACTGCAGCAGAAGATTTGGGGCTGAAGATTTTCATAACATAGTAAAGTGTTGGTGAAATTATATTCTTTGCTCATTTTCTATCCTGAATATAAAGAGGTGAAAATTTCTAGTTATTTTTTTTTAACTTGAATCCTCAGCTGTACTTTTTTTTATATAATTTGTTAGTTAATAGACATTTTTCATTTTTCCTCCCTAAATATTATTTTATATTTAATGAAAGCTCATCAAAGATGTGCTTTTTGCACTACCATTTCAGGAACAAAATTGTTACCAAAATGGGGAATGAAAAAAGAAAGATGGGTCTTTTCTTTTACATTAAATACATCATTTAGTTTTTATAGATTATTTTTTCAATGTTTTTTCAAAAGTATTGTATAATTTCTAGGAATGAAATCAGCTGATTTACATTTACTAAGTTCTCCTTTGTATCTTACTAAGCAGAAATTCTTCAGTCCAGCTGAATTTGTGTGTGTGTTGTTACACTGTGTACCTCAAATGTGAGGTTAAACTCCTACATCATCAGTAAAAGAAAACTACATTTATACGTTATTGTTCAGTTGATGTGCAAGTCAAAACTGCTAAAGTATATTAGCAAGCTGAATGTTATATATATGCATATATGATTTCTATACTGTGTATTTTGTAGTGTATAAATTGTTGATTATATGATGCATTAAGGTATGTGCAATAGAAATAAACTAAATGGTATCATTTATATTGTTTTTTTCTTTTTCATCTGTACTGGCCAGAAGTTAATATTTCATGCTATGTATGTGTAATGAAGAGGTTTGAATAATTATGGGCAGGGGAAGATGTAAAGGAACATTATTATAGAATGGATTCAAATAAAAAGCACTGGAATGAATTATGAAGTTGCACTTCAAAGTACACGTCTGAATCATAAAAAGGATTAAGTTATTATGCATTTAATTTTTTTCGCCTCTCTGTAAATGTTTTCGTAAATTTAATAATGAAATTTAAAGTGTATGGATAAAAACTTATCAGAAATGTACCCATTTCTGTTTGCTAGTTTATTAAAATGGATTTTATTTTATTATTGTTTTCCCTACATACCTCTGTTATGTGCAAGAGAAAGATTAATTTTTTCCCTAGGGAAAATAATTATTATTGCATTGTGGTTATGTTCAGATTAGCACCTGAAGCAGGTTTACTTCTGAAATTGCCATTTAGGAAATTTTATTTAAAAGAAATTCCTTTCCGATAAGAAATGAGCTGTTAGAAAGTTAACTGAAATGGTTACTTTTTATTAGTTTGTTAATTATCAAAACTTTTCAGTTTTGTCCTATGTGTGACTGCAGTGGTGGATGACAGTAGCTAAGACATCGATACAGAGCAAAGTGCTAATGCCATACAAGAGAAGGTCTTCTGAAGTAAGACAGATAATCAGATCATGATGAAAGAACAACTGGCAACTCATTCAGCAACAAAGCAAGTAGAATGTAAAAAAAAATTTAAAGGCTGGATTTTTTTAAAATTTAAATAACTTAGTTCAGGTTTTTTTCTGTGTTAACTTATTATAAAATTGCAAACTCTCCCGATTTAGGTGGGAGACTCCCATTTCCCAACGGTACTCCCAACCTGATTTACAACATATTTCTCCAGTTTTCTCTTATTCTTAAAATTTCTTCCAATTTTTATATAGCTTGGCTTAATACTTCGTTATTTGCACCCCCCAAGTGATTTTTAGCATCTGAAAGAGTTTGATTTTTCTCTATATTACATATAAAAGAAAACCAAAGTCATTTCATCAATGAGACATGGTGCACTTCTGCTTTGTGTGTGAGAGCATATATGTCTGAAAACTTATTTCAGTTTTTCAGTGAGCACAAAGCAAGTTTGAGGTTGTTATTTTATTCGTTTCATCGCTTCATGCACTTTTGAGAAATGGTTTAAGAAATTTCAATCTTATGTCTATGAAAAAGGTAAAAGGCTCCTGTACTTTTCAAAATTCATACATGGCTGATTTTCCATCTATTATTTCCTCAAGGAAATGTGATACATTTCTGATGTGTATTCTTTTTCTTTGGAATTTTTTGATTTCACATGATGGAAAGGCTGATGTTTTTATAAAACGTGTGTACAAGATAAAAAAAGAAAAGAAAGAAGGATATAGTTGTATTGAAAAAACGTAAAATACTCATGTAGTTTTCAAAAATCAGACAAATAACTTTGCTTCTATCATTTCACTAAGGAAATATACTATACTTGCAATGTACACTGTTTGTCATTGAAATTTTTCAATATTGTGTATTGGAAGGGCTGATGTTCTTAAACATACATGTATACAAAAACACAAGAGCATGAGTTGTATTGAGAATGAATTAATCAGTGACGACAAAGTTGCAGCATGATATTTTAACCATAATTTCTTCAGAACGTTTTGCCATTTTAGCGTGATTTGTATTGTTAACATTAATAGTTAATTATTAAAACAAAATGCATTTCCTCTGGATAATTGCTTGGCACCAGTAATACGAGCGTTGCTATTTATATTTCTGGCATTTGCAACAGTATGTGTTGCTAGGCAACCATAGACGATTCTAACCGAAAGTTTGATATTTCTAAACACAACTTCTTCAGAACGTTTTGCCATTTTAGTGTGATTAGTGTTGTTAACATTAAACTGAAAAATTAATCTCGGGTAAAAAGTGGAACTTATTCATGAACATTTTCGTGCAGTTATTTATTTATAACTTTCAACGTAGATTATCAAGACAAAACTGCTTTGATGAACTTAATTCTTTTTACAGCAATAAAGCACCATCCTACAGCACTGTAAAAAACTGATATAACCATGAAGGTAAGAAGTAAGAGGAGAGGCTCTAACTGTTTTTCCCCATGCATTGCCTTGAAGCTGTGGCTCACCCCTCCTGGAGAAATATTCAGTGGCTTGCAATTAAGATTAATGGGTTTTGACATGATCGGATGTAAACATTTGATAATTACCTTGTAACTATACATATAAATGTATATATTTTCTTTTTCAGCAATATTTCAGAGGCCTAAGTGTGAGAAAATATGTTTTTAAACAACATTTTATTCTGAAGTATGCAATTAAATGCTATACTTTATCGAAAGCAGTTTGATCAGATCAGTTTAATTTGAATGAAATATTTTCATGCGTTTTTTTTAATTACATTAGAAGGAAGTTTTGATGTAATTCAGTTTTATTCAGTTAACAATTACAAAAAAATAAGATCAAAGTTTGTATTATTAATATTAAGATTCCGCATTATTTCTTTTCTGTTTACAGAGCTTCGTCCTGAAATATGAGATGATTTTTTTAGCTTCTGAGGTATCCTTTAAATAAAAAGAATGATTTTATAATTAATCCTCTCTTCAGTTCACTTCAAATTAGAGCACCTTTTATTTTAATAGTGATTAAATTGCTGCTGATTTCCATGTACTTATGGACTATGAATATTTCTGATAAGGAAAAGTTTTTTTAATATTATTTAAAACTTGTAACTAAGTTGTTATAAAGTATAAGGAAATAATTTTTTTAATACTTATTGAATTTTTTTCTCAAATTCATTTTCTCATTTTCAATTTCAACAATACCTATTCTAAAAATTCTTTATTACTTTCTTAAGTATGCATCTCATGCTTTTGCTTTACACCTTTTAATAGCTTGCTTTCTAGTAAAAACAATTCTTGCTTAAATAATTTTATAAACAAATTTGTCAGCAGAATTTCAATTTATGTTTACAATTAAGGTTGAAGAGTCATTAGTTTATTTTGAAGCAGGATATGACGTGAAAAATTAGCAATGCCCTCATCAGGATTGGAACCTGGACCATTCAAATACACGCTAAGTGGGCTACTGTACACCATGAAGACATGTTGGAAGGAGGGAGGAAGCACCTTTTGATGTTATTATATATTTAGATAATATTTATAATCAGTATAAATTTAGATATTTTTAATAACTAGATTTCTTCACATTAATATTCATAGGAGTATATGAATGAGTGAATCCTTCATTTCCAAATGCATTTATAAATAATTTAATAAATATTTGCATTTTGTTAAAGGCAAATAAATGCTTTATATATATGCCTATATGCTTTTTACATATATATTTATGCATAATAAAATGAAGCAACATGCTTTGAAAAACATGTAAGGCTAATGCTAGTCCTTCTCCTTCTAAATCTTGTAAAATACAATCACTTTGAAAGACCTACAGTTGTATCTACCAAATAACATGTAAAGAATGTTCCCTCGCGTGCATAGGTCAAACAAAAAAACCGTCTCAACCTCAGAATTAATAACCATAGATCTCATATAAAAAAATTTTAAAATAACACCTCACAAAAGATAGACAACATACTGCTATTCTTGAGCATTTTCATATACATAATTTTGATAACATTGAAATTAGTGTGTTAGATATTGTACAGGATACTAAATTAAGACTGTTTAAGGAATCCATTTACATACTTCAAAAAAGGTCACTTTATACTTACGGACTTAATACCTATCTAAGTAATGCCACCAATAAACATTCACAAGTTTCTATATATGGACAATTCAGATTTTTTAGCAATATTACTACCAGAGGATCAAGAGGAGGTAATTCTAATAACAAAAAAATTTTTCCAACACAAGATCTGAAATTAATTATTAAAAATCTAAATTCCTCCTTTGAAAATAAAGCATTTGCATAAAATGCCATTACTTCTTCATACCTTTAAGAATATTACCTTATATAATCTTATTAAAATACTTGATCAACAATCTCAATGTTTCGAAATAGTCAAAGATCTGAGACTTTTGCAATTTTAAACTAAAGAATAGTAATTTTTTCAAAAAAAAAATTTTTGTACAATACAATTCAAGCACTTGTCTTACGATCAGTTAAAAATTCCAAGCATATTTAAAAAATATCAACACTTGCTACCTGAGCAACAATTTCAAATTAAGCCCTGTTTTAAATTTGAAAAGACCTTAGGTCAGCTTGTTATCAACCACCACAATATTAAAAAAGATAACATATGTCATTGCCAACTTCCTATTTGCAATAAATATGTAGATCCTTATCACCAACATATTGTTACTGGAGATCTCAATATCATTGAATATGTACAATTGCATGACCTTATGCAACTTGGCACTAAATTTCGTCCTACTTTCAGTATTAATAAGCGCTTTAGCCTTAAATAATTCAATAATGATCTTGATAAATTATCATTTTAGCTAGTAATAGATCCAATTTACCTACTACTACTTTTCTTGAATGGAAAGCTGCACTAATTAAAGAATTTCAGCTTATGCTTTTCAAGTTACCCAATTTCAATTATTTGCACAATAATACTTTAGAGGCCATCTAGAAATTCGTATTCAGAAACAGCAAGATAACTTTATCATCACAAAGATTGACAAAGCTAGCAACAATTTTAGTGTTATTTGAAAAAGGTTTTATTTCGACCTTCTGCATAATGAATTGTACAACACTTGCACCTACCAAAAGATTACTACCAGCACTAAGATTCTTCTAAATAAATTTAATGCACTACATAAAAAACTTAAAATTCTTCCCCGGAAATATAATAACAGATTTGCAAATCTATATGCATTACCAAAATTTCATAAGACTCCGATCAAAACCATGTCTAATACGTGACCTCATTAATAATTATAATTTTAAAGATCTACATTGCAACTGGATGATTTCAAGTAATGAACAGGTTC